CCCCCCCCACCAACTCACATCCTGGGCCCCCTCTCAGAGGAGAACTCGCAGTGGAAGATGACTATCACCCTCTTGCTGGCATCAAAGGGCACGATGGGCTTCTTCAGCAGGAACTCCTCCATGTCCTGCTCCATCGGCAGGTTGATGGCACCCTGGGGAGGAAGAGGCAGCTTTCATCCCCACTGCTGTCTCCCGTTTCATCCGGGGGGGAGGTGTCAGTATGCTGCCCCCAGCCTCCCCCCCCCACCCAGCATCACCCCATCTACTGGGGCACCATCACCTTTCCTCCTTCCAGCTGGGGCTCAGCACCTTTGGGGAGGCTGCTCAACTCCTGGGGGGGGGGGCAGGGGGCTCAGCCCCTCTGAAGTTTGATGGGTTTGAGACCCCCCCACCTCACAGGACCCTCCAAGCCCCAGCCCTGAGGGGCACAGCGGCAGTTCTGACCTTGATGTGGCCTCCCTCGTACTCGTAGGGGTACCTGCAGTCCACAATCACGCAGCTCTCGATGAGGCTGCTGAACTGCCCCGTCAGCACTGCTGCCATCTGCGGGGGGAGCCCGTCACCAAGGCGGGGGGGAGACATGGGGGGGGCCAGGCAGGCAGCCCCACGGGGGCTTTTTGGGGAGAGGCTGCTGCTCCCTTACCATTTCAGGGGAAATGTACTTCAGGTCCTGGTGTTTCCCCTCTACTGTCTGCAGGAGGTAAGCCTGGAGGAGAGGCAAGGTGCTGGGTCAGGATCCATCCTGGGGAGACCTCCCGGAGCAGGGGCTGTCACCCCGCTCCCGCAGCCCAGAAGACCCCCCCCTCCCCTGCAACATCTGCTCCCTGCAGGGGTGGGTGGGCAGTCTGCCCAGGAGACATATGGCTGCTGCACGGTGCTGGCACTGGAGGAGCAGCAGTCAGGCTCTTCATGTCCTATGGGGGCTGCAGGCTGGAAAGTCATAGCCCCAAGTCCCCTCGTCCCTAAGCAAGGGCCACCAGCTGGGTTTGGGCTCTTGTACCAGTGCAAGGCTCTGCTGATGGTCCCTCTGGTTTCAGGGGAAGTGGGGGGGGCAGCACCCCCAGGCCTGCAGCATCCCCATGGCCCTACCTTGGAGAAGTCCCCGATGAGTTCCCGGTGGTCGTTGGCCAGCAGGTTCTCAATCTCCTCATGGCAGAAGGACCTGGAGCGCAACAGCCACGGTTTCTGCGGAGACATCTCCCTCGGTGTTAGCAAGGGCTCCACAGCAGAGCCAGGTCAGTCCCACCAGGGACAGGCTGGACCCCAGCAAGGACATCTCACCCAGACATTTCCCCATCACCCACCGGCTCTGCCGCCGCCTCCTTGCTGGGGGTACTAGCCACACTCCTCCGCCGCTTGGTTTCGACAGGGGTGTCCCTGTCCTGGGGCCGGTCTATCCGCTTCAGGATAGGTCTGATGACACTGGTGGGCATCGAGGGCGAGCGGAAAAGCTGCCGGCACTTGCTGCGCTTCACGAGACGCTGTGCAGGGAGAGTGTGTGCTGCTGCCTGGGGGTGTGGCATCCCCCTGCATCCCCCTCAGCATCATGAGGGTGGGGAGACAACGGTCCCATTCTGGTAGCCACACACCACCCAGGATGAGCCCACAGCCCCTGGGGCTGGTGCTGCTCACCAACCAGCCCTTTCACCCTCACCCCCAGACCCCCACTTCAAGACGCCTCAAGGCTCCCACATACCAGCTCTGCCTCCTCCTTCCTCACCAGCGGTGCAGTCAGCAGGTTCTCCATCCCCTGTGGCACACTGGCATCGCTCTGCCAGGGCAGCAGCCAGGAAGGCCATAGGGGAGAGGCAGAGGAGAACATGAAGGTGACAAGTCCCACCAGTTGCTTCCCACCCCCTCAGGCAGGGATGGACCCCATGGACTCCGCAGGTGGAAGAGCCCTCCCTACCTTCATCTCCTCCTCATGCAGGATCTCCACGAAGCCATCATCTTCCTCCTCAGACATGGAGGAGGTCAAGGAGCCCTGGCGCAGTATGACGGGGCTCTGGCCTTCGGGGACATTTTCCTTCTCGGGGGTGTCAAACTGGGGAGGACACAGCCCACAGCTCAGGAATGAGGCCAGCCCCATGCCAGGCCTGTTTGGAGACAGGGTGCCCCTACAACCCCCCAGGCTGTGACCCCACAGCCCCTTCAGCTCCCACATCCACAGGTCTCCAGGGCAAACGTGGAGGTTGGAGCAGCAGGTCCCAGCTCAACAACCCCTGCAGCGGGACCATCCATCCCTGGTGCCACCCCCCTCCCCAGACCCCCCCAGTCCCTCTCACCAGCAGGTCAGGCGCAGAGCCGGGTCTCCGGGCAAAGGGGTCCCTTCCCACAGCTCCATCACCAGTGGGCAGCTGGCTGCGCTGACCCGGCCTCTGTGGCTTCTTGAAGACAAACCCCTCCTGTGGTGGGGCGGGGGGACACACACAGCATTAGCATCCCCCTGCCCCTTTCCCAGCCCCCTCCCCGGCCTCGCTGCCCCCCTCACCTTGTCCTCAGGCTCCCTCCGGTCCCTCTGCTCACTGGCCCTGCAGTCATTGAACTCCCAGGAGTGGGAGATGTTCTTCAGGACCGGGCTGGCCCCCAGGAGCCGCGGCTGTGGGGCAGGCAGAGGGGTCAGAGGTGCTGCCCAGCCCCTGCTCTCCCCAGCTCCATCTTCCTCCCAGCTCAGCCAGGGGCTCAGCAGGATCCGGCCTCCCCCTGGCTCAGACCTGCAGAGCCCCCAGGACTTACCGGCAGCGAGTGGATCCTCCGGATAAGGAACTTATTGCTACAAGAAGCAGGGAAAGAAAAGAATTGAATGAGAGAAGGTGCCCTGGACCGGCAGTGTCCCACAACAACCCCCCCAGAGGCTGGCATGGCCGCCCCCCCATCCCTTGGGTCCCTGCAGCAGGGTGAGGCCTCCCCAGAGCTGTCACAGCTCCCAAAGGACCCCAGGGCAGCAACTCCTCCAGGCACTGAGAAGGAGGGGAAGGACACAGGGACAGCCTGGGCACGGGGACAGCCAGGCTTGTCAGGTCTCGCCACAGGGACAGAGGCCCTTCACTTACTCCTTGAGAACCCTCCCGGACTCCGGGATCGCTTTCTCGAAGCTGTGGGGAGAGGACAGCCAGGGTTAGGGGAGATGGCACCCCACACCCTAGCCCAGGCAGCCCAGGAGCCCCAGGGATGGGCAGCCCCAGCCCTTACAGTGCTCCCACCCCACACAGAGGCTGGCAGCCCCCCAGTGGGGGGAAAGCAGCCAAGCAGCCAGGGCTTTCAGCCCCACAAAGGGTTAAAGCCCCATCTGGACACTGCTGGTTTCAGGCTGGGGGACCCCAATCCCTGGCTGGGGTGGGGGAGCAGCATGCCAGGGTGGTCCAGGGCACCCCGCTGACCTCGCTCCATGCCCAGACAAAGCCAGCGGCAGGGCCCCGCACGGGGCAGCAGCAGCGCCCGCTCTCCACCTGTATGTAAATCCATCCACGGCGGGGATGCGGGGGATGTTGGCCGGCAGCCATATGGCCATGCCGGCAGCACGCCGCGGCAGGACGGGGACCAACATGTCCCCCGCGGCCAAGCACACCCAGCCCCACAGCTACCCCAGCCCCACCATCTGCCCCCAGTTAGTTACTCATTCACCCGGCACATCTGCCGGGGCCAGGCTCTGCCAACGGCCAGGCAAGCGGCAGAGGAGGGGGCCAGCAAAGCCACTGGCACAGCACCAGCATGGGGGGCCTCAACTGCAGCTCGCCAGTGGGGGGGAGGGGGGGGGCAAGCAGTGGGCACAGCAGGCAGAGCCCCTCACCCCTGCACAGGGCAGCACCACAGAGCTTTGCTCTCAGCTGAAGCCTACACCCCCACCCTGCACCCCCCCACCCCATGGGGCCCCATGCAGCAGCACCCCAAGGCTCTCCGGGGATGCCAGAGGTGTTGGGAGCCCACAGAGGTGCTCAGCACCCTTGCCCCGCTGCGTGGCGAGGCGGCAGCCAGCCATCCCTGCTCGCAAAGCCCGGAAGAAGATTTGGCCCAGCCGCGGCAAGGCAGCACCGTGAAGGCTTCCTGCCTGCACCCGCTGCCAGACCCCTGCCTGCAGCGGGGCTGTGATGATCCCCAGTGCTGACATCCCCGCTCTCCCCAGTGCAGGGTGGTTTCTCACCTCCCCAGAAGCAGATTTGGGGGGGATGAGGCATAGCCCCCCAGCAAGGCTGAGCCAGGCACTGCAGGCAGACCAGGGCAGGCAGGGCCCATGCTGCCTGCGGGAGGCAGGGGAGGGCAAGTGGGGGAGCCCCCGGAGGGGGGACAATGGGGCAAGGGGCACTCACACTTCCTCCAGCGCTGCGGGGTCCTCCTGCATGGGGGAGTCCAGCCCCACTCCTGGGGAAACAAGGGGCAGGGTAGCACAGTGTGGGGGGAATTGGGGCCCACTGGGGACATAGCCATGTTCTGCTCTGGGACCCGCTCCGGCACAGCACTGGCACTGCTCCTGCAGGGTCCTTTGCAGGATGTGGCCAGGCCAAGGAGCCCCCCACATCCCAGCTGTGCTTCCCCACTGCTCCAGCCAGCACCGAGGAGGCAGCCATGGCTGGTGGTACCTGCTGGGTGCTCATGGGGGGGGCCCTCACCCAGCCCCCCCCAGCATGGCAAGGGGGATAGCACTGACCCTGGAGCACCCATCCCAGCCAGGATGCCACCCCACGTCACCCCAACCAGGGACCCCACTGGGGTGGTCCATGGCCAAGTCCCTGGGGAGCAGGGCTGGGGGCTCTCACCCATCATCCCCCCCCAGGGAAGGGACCGCAGTCGGAAGCGCTGGGGAGGAAGTCCCAGTTTGAAGCAGGCGCGGGCTGAGCACCCGGCGGGACTGACTCAGAGCAGGGCCAGGAGCTGGGAGCAGAGCCCCGGCACCCACATGTACCCCAAGAAGCCCCCCCTGCCTCAACCTCCCTTCCTTGCCTCCCCAGCCGCTCGTCCAGCCCCCCCATGCCACAGCTCCCTCTGCACAGCCCCAGTCCGGGATGGGGAGGGGTGGGGGAGCCCGCAGCAGCAGCACCCATCACTCACCCATGTCCGAGGACTCGGAAGAGATGGAGTCCCGGGAGGAGACCGAGGCCACCGACTCCTGGGACAGGCTGGACCGCTGGCTCTGGAAGGACAGCCCCGCCGCCCTCCGCTTCGGGGTGTCCCAGTGCCTGCAGGCAGGGTGAAAGTGTGTGTGTGTGGGGGTCAGCCCGCCCCCTCGCCCCCTCCCCCAGGAGCAGTGGTTAATGGGGGGGCCCAAATCCATCTAACCCCCCCCTTCCCCCAGGCAGGGTCCCACCCCACACCCCCGGCCCCTCTCACCTGCCCAGCCCCGCCAGGTTGTTCATATCCAGCGCCAGGGTGGTGACCGGGGACCCGGGCAGCCCACGGCCCCGCGCCGCCATGCGGGCAGAGGAAAGCAAACCGGAGAGCAGTATTAAAATGTTAAATCCTTGCGGGGATCCTCTCCCCCGCTCGTCCCGGTTTTCCTCCGCGGAGGGGAGCTCGACCGCGCGCCCGCTCCCGGGTCCGTTTGAAGGGAACCGGCCGGGCGCGCGCCTGCCGCCGCCCCTATTTATATTCGAAAAATAACAGGGGAGCGGCGGGGCGGCAGCCAATGGGGCGGGGAGGGGCG